GGGATTATATCCCAGGATCTACGGTATTTGAATGTCACTACAAGAATATTGCGATCCCATCGTTGATTATATGTGTCCAATTTAGTGATTTCATAAGTTCATAAGTGTTCTAATGCCTGCATCCAGAATTGTTCTAGAATGTCTGGTTAGTAAAACCTGGAGTTTGTTAAGATAAGCTATTGTACAGTTGGACAATACTAAACTACAATAATAAAAAATGATAAACAATGGTAACTCCTTATGAACCTCACAACAATAAAAAAGAGGAAAACTAGCTAACCTTGGCATCTGGCTCAAGATCGATAGTGAAATTGTTTGTGTTGCTGCATGATGGAGTAAGTTCCAAAGTCTCCAGAGTGGGGTTGCTAAGGGTGATGAACAGACGACTCCATTTACCCAACTCACACTCAATGTGTGGCAGTATAGTAGGTCCCGGGGTCTCTGCAGAAAGATGTAACAGGTACCAAAACTCACCGACAACTTTATTCTGGAAAATCAAACTGTACATAGAAAGAGAACATAGTCAAAGATCTATTGAATCAACAAAAAGTGGTATATCTACAGGAGTGCATGAAAATGTAATAAGCAAAATAACCACTTAAGTGGATACAGATCAACTCATTTCACCTTTTTTTGCTAGGTAGCTCTCCCTCACATAACCATCGAGCCCCCCTCCCCCTTAAACCTTTCACCACCAATTAGCTCCCTCAGAAGTGTCACATACTGTACTAGACTTAATAAATATGGATTTTGTGATCACTTGTAATCTAGAGTTACTTATCCACATTTGAGTCGAGTAGCCGAGCGGTAAAGCAGGAGCGCCGCTAACTATAGCCTTAACATTGGCGCTGGTTCCAGTCGCTCCTCGTAGATATTTTGGTTGTTAGAACCAAGTCTTCCCGGATAAGGACTTAAAATGGAGGCCCGGTGTATATATCTGGCTTGTGTGAACTTTAAAGAATCTGTGTGTACTGGCATGCCCTGTTGTTGTGGAATGATGTGAACATGTAGCAACTATAAGTGCCTCCTTATGGCTGCTAGGTAGACACAGACCACGCCCGCTAGGTAGACACAGACCACGCCCATACGCAATTCTGCAAAATGGCGATACTATTTACAGGTTATTCTCTTAATTACCTTTACCTCAATGTACAAATAAAAAACTGTAAGTCATCAGTGAGTAATAAAGTGTGTACCAGAGGGAGCTGTCCTTGACCCCATGTTATCTAATTTTTTATTAACAACTTAACTACAAATTGTCTCCTGTGACAACCTAATTATGTTCAAATAATACTGATTTACTGTTCAAATTCTGAGTTCAACAAGATTAGTTATTGGTTTAATACAAAGTAACCTTTGATTAATACATCTTTATTTTGTGTTGCTTACCTAATAAAGAAGAAACTAGCTTACCATAGATAAAATTACTGCAGGCTACATTTACACTAGCAATTGCAATATTACCGTTCTACGCTAACCGTCATAGTAAATTTTGTAGAAAAACTAACAAGTTTTTTCTAAATCAGAGTACTTCATAAAGAAGGGAATTATACAAGTCAACAGTGATGACGTTGTCAGTTTGTTATTACCTAATATCCAGACAAGTACCTCAGTGAAGACTATGTATCATCACCTTTGATTTGTGTGATTTCTTATATCAATATGTTCTTGATATTTACAGTAGGACAGACAAACTTCTAAAATTAGTAAGCATTAGAGGCGTTGTTTATCTGTATGGACTCGCTTGTGTGATTTAAAACACTACTTTGTTTTAAACCAAATTTTTAAAATGTCAAACTATATTTAGGGTTTAAAAATATGTTTCAATAATTATATCTATATATACTTTTTTTATTTATTCATAGTATCCCCAGTTTTTTAATTCAACCCCATTCCCTAAGCCTCGTAAAGAGATTTAGTTTATAAAGCATCACTCTATTCTGTAGTTGTTGCTTGCTAATGGAAGTGAAAACACATTTCCATAGACATTTCTTCTTTAAAATTGTTTTTTTTTTTCTTTTATAATTATAAAAATAGACTTACCTTCCCTGTGTTTTACCGATGACAGCTGGAGAGAAGACTAATTGATAAAGTTTCTTTTGTCCAGCAGTCAAATAAATTTCAGCATCTCCTCTCAAGCCTTCCCCTTCAATGAGGACATCAAAGGTAAGATCTTGTGCAGTTGGATTGATAATGTCCACCTCCATCACTGCTGCGGACTGAAAAACAATATATTATACAAAAAATGACTGCTCATGAGAAAAATGGTGAAATCTATTACCCCGAGGTGATGTGGAAACCATAGCCTACTATCTTCTCGATGGCTGAAGGGCTGAAGGGCCGAAGGAAGATAGCTTCAGCCCTCAGAAAGATAGTAGGCTACGGTAAATTTCACCGTTCCCCAAATTTAGAGCAGTCAGTATTTGTTTTATATACCCCATATAGATTGTACAAGGCCTAAAAAGTAATGAAAAGAATACTGACAGTATATCTTAAGTATTCATATTTATAAATCTGACTAAAGTGTCACTTTATTCACATTTCATTACAATAAGGCAATTCACAGTTCTAACTAGGCATGTCTGTAGTGAAGGTGAATCGACATAAACTATCATTTAACACACACAACATAGGCTACGTCTAAGAGTGGCCTAAGAGCAGCCTTCAGAATTGTCTGAAAATAGTAAATTGTGATGTGATGCATAGTGTATAGAATACTTGCATCAACTAATAAATACTTATATATACTGTTTTATAGCTTCCCAAAAATTTAGACGATTCCAAAAGGCGTGCCTATTTGCAGGCCTATGTTGTGTGTGTTAAATGAATAAATTCAGATAAGAAATTATAATACATACTCCAAGTATTGAAATACAAGCCAAAAGTGTTGGGATCCAATATTTCAACATCAATTATGTCATTATCAAATCATTCAATAATTGTATAAATGTTCATTGACCTTCACTACGGAAAATGTGCAGTTAGGACTATGAATTGGCTTATTCTTTCCTATTAAATATTCAGGACTTTTTTTTAAAGATGACATAAAAAAGTTGAACATAATTTGAATCTTTTTGATACAATTATGCAATGTAATATGACATCACGCTCATAATATAAGCATATCACATATATTCATCACAGAAAATGTGATGATGCGACAAAGCTGTGCCAGCTGCACGATAACTATGTCATGCTCTTTAACTAACTTCCATGTTGCTTAGGGAATTGGGATATTTTTAGTGATTAATGTTAGTTAAATAATGTGAGTAGCTGTACTTGTGTAGAATGATTAATTGTGGCAGGTAGTACATTAGAGACCAGCATGAACATTCATGACGAAATTACATCTTGAACTTAAATTTTCTGGTGACAGATTGGAATGGATTAAAAGATCAATTTGAATAATAACATGCAGCACTTTAGACATTAATTGAATGTGCACATTCAGAAGCATTTATACACACTGGTTAAAAGTAGAAAATTTGAATTTCATACACTACCCAATATACACAGCACTCCATCATATTTAGCATTATTTATATTTACGTTTTTTGCATTTGGACGTATTAAGACATAATTATTGTGAGGCAAATTTAGGACATATTGATTATTAGGTCTTATGTTTTTGCATTTGGACGTATTGAGACTTATTTTAAAGTTATAAATAAATGTCAGTTGAAAAAGCTATTAATACCGTAGCTTAGCTGTTAAGAACCGTATCAACCACCTGGGTATCATAACTCGGTAAACTTTTGTCATGCAATGTGAAATAAAGTATGTAGATTTATAGTACAGTGCGTACAAATCTGGGCTAAATTTTATGGTACACTAGCCAAAGAGATCTGTAGGGCATTAAGATAATTTAATCAGTTACGTAAACATTGTAATTACATGTTACATAAATGATCACATGATCTTAATGTGATCTGTTATGTAACAAGAAAATTCAGGGGAAAACAAGCAGTAGCACTACAACATAAATCAATTTAACTTGACTAGAGTAAAACATTTTTCGAATCTATCACCTTTATGTCATAAAGCAGCATTACCTAAACCATCAAGTAAACTCCTGACTCAAATAACCATCATTGCCCAAATGTTGGACCAAATCTGGGAGGAGGAGGTTTGCCTACAGGGGCAGCAAATCTTTTAATCTTTATTTCTAATAATTAGCCATCTTTTATTGTTTTTTTCTAAATCTACATAATATATTTTAAATGTTTGGATTCATCGTACCTAATTTTAACAATTTTTGCTTAATTTCTGAATATTTACAATAGGGATTTTACTGTATTTTATGTGGTTTCTATATATTACCTGTTTTTGTGAATGTGATTATTGTCTTTGTTGGACTGGCCCTTTGAGAATACCAACCAATCACAGTTCGTTTATTATTCTGCTATTGCAATTGTGTACATGGAGCTCATGCTGCGTTCATTAGAACTTGTGAAGTCGGTGTTACCCAGTTCACAACTTGTGAAACGCATTTATCTGATCGCAAAGTCACAAGAAATAATTTACTGTCATAAAATAAAGTTGAATCCAGAATCTTTAAAATGTTGACATTTTGAAATAGACATTTTTGAGCCTCATTACCTGAGCAGAACAGTTAATACTGATCGTTTTCTCTGGAGGTGGTTTTGAGCTTTGGACCTCAATGGAGTACCAGATTCTGTAACCCTTTCTGGCATCACATACATGTGCTGTTGATGATGTTGAACTGGTGTTTGATGTGCTGTTGCTTGCTTTTTTCATACCACTGCTTGGCTTGCTGCCTCGACTGCCAACATCATCTTCATTATCATCCCTTTAATTAAAACAGAATACGACTAATAGTCTAGATTGATTTTTTATGTTACTCTTTATGAAATGCTAGAGGCTTTTTTAAGTAAATGTTGGCAGGCACATTTTTTAACCTAAATTGGAATTCAAATTTGCTATTTAGCTTGACCTTTAAAATGATGTAATTAGCCACAAGAGAAAATGTACATTTTAACAGCTCTAATTTTTAATGTTTAATACATTTTAACCATAGTATATATCCTTTACATATTTCATATTGAATTTAATTTTATGTCAAGAGGTTCCCATTTTTGTGTTGGGCCCTGGGCAAATGGTTTCCTCTTGGACATCTACTGTATATGTCGAAATTAATAAATAAATGAATCTCTTAATAAAGTATAATACATACTCCAAGTATTGAAATACACGCCATTGTGTTGGGATTCAATATTTGGACATTAATTATGCCATCATCAGGAATGAATGATGATGACATAATTAATGTCGGACAAATCCTGGCGCCACCCCTGGAAAGTGTGTACCGGTGAATTAAATTCCTGATGATGACATAATTAATGTCGAAATATTGAATTACAAGACAATGGCGTGTATTTCAATACTTGGAGTATGTATTATACTTTCTTATCTGAGATTAATCAGTGGACCTTTCGGTTTTGAATCTCTTAAAGTCGGACTCCGGAGGGAAAAAAATGTTTGATATGTTGTAGCACTAATTTTTCTAAGACAGAAAAATGTTGTCTGACGAAAAACTGGGGAACGGTGAATGAGATTCAGATTTTTGAATATTTAAAAACTGGGGGGAAAAGGTGTAAAAAGAAATATTGATTGTTTTTAGCGGAGATAATTTCCAAACAAATTTAATTACACTTCTTAAAAGCACATGGCTAAGCAGCTGGCTTACAGACAGACTCGCCTTTAAACTTTAAATTAAAATAACTTCGAAATAGTTTACATTCAATTTACTGCTTATAGCATTTCAATATTGGAAATAAACATATTATCCATTTGTTTTACATTACTGAAACTTATACATCAACAACTGTTGTTTCATTTCGTTTTGTTTTATTCAAGTTTTCCACATATTTAACATACAGTTTTCCACATATTTAACATATAGATGATAGCATAAAAATAAGCACAGGGATAGATAAGTTTAACAAAGAAACTTTAAAGCCTAGGCCCCTGTTTAAAAGTAGGAAAGAGTGAGACAATGAATTGTAAATGATAAAGTTAAATAATGCAATGCAAAAAATATTTAAAAAAATAAAAAAATAAATAAAAATAATATTTTATATTTCATAACCATTGAGCTGACCTAGAGATATTGATTCATTCTCAAGAACACCCATGTAGCCTTAAGCATTTTGGGAAAATTACTTTTTTTTTTCTGGCATTACATTTATCAGTAATGAGGTACATTTATGATTCATGATGGTGACAGCTTTGTCATTTGACACAATATTGCATTACAAAATGATCAGACATGTTATATGTTAATTTGGTAATGTTCAAAAGAAAAGCCATACACATTTTATAATTTTTGCATGAGAAAGTGAAATAAATGGTAATTCTGAGGGTTTCACTTTATTGCTATGGATATGATAATTACTTTGTATTAATTGCACTATTGAGTTGATTGTCTATAGCCTGGTTCTCACGAGAGACCTAGTATCCGGATCAGAAGTTAACTGTTAGCGCTAACCGTTAGCACCTGTGTGAGAACGACGGATCGGTTAGCGCAAACCGTTAGCGGATCGTTATTCTTGGTATCCGGATCATGATCTTCTCATATGGACGCACAGCAGTTAACGGTTAGCAGGATCTGGATCCTGCTAACCGTTAACTGCCGTCAGCTGGTAATAGACCTTTCGCTAAGCCTCGCCTCTTGGATATGGTTGCTAAGGTTCCCCAAGGCGACAGTGTTAAAACATACGCGAACATGTGTGTTTGTGGGACAACACCTGTGTTTGTGAGATGCGCGCGTATTCCTAGGGCTGTTCTGATTGGTCAGTTGCTAAGTTTGATTGACACCCTGGAAAGGTATATTGCACCAAATGGACCTATTTTACATAACATTTTTATGATATTCATACAGGACATAACCTTATATTCATGTCATTATTAAACTTTATAAAGTTTCATTACTCTAAAAATGTATTTATTTAATATTATACACCATAAATTTATTTTGAAAAATGGTAGCTATATTAATAAATTTATTTTGAAGGTTAGATATTTCTTTAACATGGAAGATTAAAATTTTTGGTGGGGCTATAATGACATTATGCCCAACTATCGTTTAGTTGCACTGGTTGTTGGTATTGTGATACAAAGCTCTTGAAACAAATGATAGTTGAAAGTATGTTATGTTTCAGGAAATACCGACTTAGCCCCGCAGCTTGCTAATGAGAAATAATACTGATAAAAAAATTTATCAGTGAACATCTAGTACCCCTTTCAGACAGACCTGCAAAACGGTATTAATACTGTATTTCTCGAACGCCGGCGTTCTATGTGAAAGGGTAAATACGCCTAAAAGCCGGCTTCAGTTAGACTCCTCGGGACCTAGTCTTAATACCGCATTATTACCGTAGCGAGTTTTGCCCAACTCGATGTGAAAGGGTACAGGGTTCATCACCGTCTTACGCATTGAGGCATAACAAATCAGACGGTCACACGAGCAGCCGTCAACTGCTGCTGCAGCTAGCAAAGCCGATGAAATCGTTAGCTGACGGTTCTTTAGACGCAAAAATCGTCTGCACCTAGCTGCTCGAAATTCAAGCCGGCCTCGCCTTAAATGCTTCCTAAATTCTTTCTTCACTTGAACGAAACGCATTAGAAACCTTCTGTTTCTCAATTTATATGTATTGCAAACCTAGCAAGCATTAAAAAACATTTGCAAAGCAGCAGTTTTATGACTTTATCTCTGGCCATATTGGATTAATGGAGTAAACAAAAACTTGCGCCCTCTTTGTTAACAAGCACAAGCACCACAGACATCAAATACTCCTTTCCGCGAGAACCATTTCAGACAGGATATGGTATTATTACCGGATTTTAACTAGCTGTGTGAAAGGGTCTGCGCGGGCAATAACGGCGGCGTGATTAGGGTATTATTGCGGTATTTTATGTCTGAAAGGGGCTAAGGTCTACCCTAGGTGAAGTTATAGTGGATTCGTAAAAAGATTTATGAAATGGATTGCACTGTCAGGCTTTTTCTTTTTTCCCCATATTTTTGAAATTGCCAGCTAGGCTTTCCCATGAATCCACTCTTAAACTGTTGTCAAGTTAATATCAAATATCATGTTAATGCACGAAGAAGATGAATGTTGATAATGGGCATTACATACAATACGTAACACTTTTTGTTAAAATAATTACAGTTTGCCTTCCAATTCCAGACCACCTTTGGAATTTGAAAATTTGGGGTGGTCTCGTGGTTGGTCTCCAATTAGAGGGCTAGCTTTGTGTTAAAAGGTTGAAGATTGTTATTTGGGTTTTTGGAAAAGTGGTCTTGAATTAGAGGGGTCTCGAATTGGATGGTGCACTAGTAAGTAGTTTCTGGAACCCCAAAAATGTAACATACTAGATGCATATGTTCTGTGGAAGAATGAGTGCATTATACATCCTTAAAAGTATTTTGTATGGTTTGCCAACATTTTTTGACACTTTTGATGTAACTGTGTTAATATGAATTGGGTTTTGCCTAAAAACTGAGTGTGCAACATGTTCAATTATCTTGCTATAAATTGTTTAATGTACACCAGCTTTATCAATTACATTATTGTTTGCCCTGAAGATGACATAATTAGCCTTGTTTGGCATTTGAAAAGTGTCTGCCTTGAATAGTTTGAAAGGTTACAAGTTCAAATTCTTATGGTCCAGTGCCTGTATTTTGCTAAAAATACCCCAAATATTCATTAATTTTGACATGCTAGTAGAAAGATTTATAAATGTAATACAAATTATTTTCTTTAGCTGAATATTTTTTTAAAAAGCAAAGTAAGGCCCAAAAGAAAATTTGATTTTTGTAGAGACAGCAACATTTTATTATAGACTTTACAACTTCAGTTTGGTGTGTTTGGCCCTCATATACCATCTCTCTTGATAAAGGGAAGCATTTGTCTACAGGCTGCTTTTAAGTTTATTTGAAGATGCCATGCAATTTGTGCATCATTAGAAAATAAAAACATGTTCCCATAAAGTTATTTAGTTTATATTTAAAGCATTCTATCTATTGAGGAGAGATGTTACGCTTTGCAGCACAAATACTTGAGTATAATTGATTAAGTGTATTACAAAGTAAGTGATCATAAATTTCTGTAATAGGATACAGCTATTTCAATAGGATCAATGATAAAAGAGAGTGTTCTGTGATTCTTGTATGTTGCTTTAGTCAAGGCCAAACAAGAGTGGGAGAACCTGTAATATAAAGTTCTTTTTAGTAGCATTGATACTCTCCACAAAATGTTTGCTAATGGTCGGCATCAAAATGTAGTGCACAGGGCACCAGACGTATGTATACTGCCAGAAATGATAGATTTCTGATTATCCAGCTCAATTTAAGGCAAGCACTTAAAGATGATAGATTTCACATATCCTGTAGCTTAAACTATCACAATTAGAACATAGGAAACATTTTGTATGTGATATAAATATGTACAGTAAATCTGCCATTTGCTAATTTTAGATTTGTGCTTTTAATAAATCAATTGTAAATTACATCCTTTTGTAAGAATAACCACAAGGTAAAAAATGTTTGTGATTAAATAAAGATTATTATTTCATATACTTTATGGTGAAACAAATAACACTCACCCAAAATAACATCTATTTTTTTTACAATGACGGTTTAATTTCCAAATAGTCTGTTTAAGCAATGAAACATTTTGGTTAAAGGTTATGAATTGGGAAAGATAGACAGTTCTATTTTAGATGGCTTTAATTCAAGCAATATTCTTGGAAATCTGGATTTGAGAAATACAGACTTACATTTTGTTGATACAGGTCTGTGAGTCAGATAAGGGATCACACAAGCGATAGAGCTGGATAATGTCGGCATATGATGACGAGAATGAGAAATACCAAAGGAAAAAATACAAAAAAAAAGAGCATTGTGGAACACCACATTTTTCTATCTTCAGAGTGTTAACACTAAAACTGATGAAAAGAGAAGTGGTAAAGAATATACCAAGTATAAATTGCACATACCAGGTTAAAAAATGCACAGACCACTGGTTTAAAATGCAAAATCTAAGTTTAAAACCGATAGAGCAATACCTTACAATTATTAACTCCCTATACTTACTGAAAGGATATCAACATGTTCACTTACTTTAGGTTTGCTGTGCCACCAGCAACAAACGACAAAACACCTTTAAATACTCCTCGTTTCCATGGGGATACAGATATAACATATTCCTCCTCTTTGCCAGGCAGGACTGTAATAGTAGATGGTCCACTGACGATTGGAAGATCAGAAACAGCGTGATAGATCAACTTGTTCGGTGTCACGTTAGGAATGCGAATCATTCTCTTTACACTGAAAAATAAATACCATAACAATTTAAAGCCCTGTCCAGATTATCAAATTTTATATGTGGTCCTGATGACATCACATCATGACCATATATAGGCACATCATGACTATATATGGGAATACAACAGTTTTTGTCAAAGAATATTTGATAGCGTGGACAGGGCTTTAGAAATATAATATATGGCTCTGTTCAGACACGACGACTTACGCTAGCGTAACGTTAATCGAGTGGTGTGAACTTGGGCGCGGCGTAGCGAACGCCAGTAATATCGCGCAATCATTGGCGTACGGTAATCCAGCATCTGACCCCAGATTAGCGTACGCCACTGATTTACGACAGTCACGCATCGGTGATTTTGAACTCGGCCAGGACTTGACCAATCAAAATAAGCCTAGATGTAAACAGAAAATAAAATGCGCGAATTACGAATAAGAATATTTTGCGCAAATACTTACGCTAGCATTTGTTAATCGCCCAGTCTGGACATCTCGTTAGTTACGTCATGGATTAAAGTACGCCCGGCGTTAGATACGCCTGGCGTATCTCTCAAGTCTGAACATAGCCTATGTGGCTATAATTGTTATCATCAGTTAGACAGGAAAAGAAATTGTTATTGAAGAAATTCCTAAATCTATGTTAAATATTTAAAATAAATTATTGAAATATAATGGATTTTCATGTAAAATTATTTGTTTTTTTAATCGTTAACATTTTTAATTTTTATTTTGTCTTGTGATTTGAAAAGTTTGTCGTGTTTTTAATTAAATTATCTACTTTTGGTAGTTTACCACAACCAGTGGTAGACTCGACATCTATATCCACTTTTAAACCAAATTTAATTGAACAACTTAAAAACTAATCCCCTTGCTGCCTTGTTCACATTTTGCTTTTTCTTTCTTATTTGATGTTTGTCTTTAACTTAAGCATACTTAAGGGGGAGGCTACAGTAATTATTAGCCACTAGTCAGACAAATGTGGCTAGCTTGCTTCCCCAGGTTGTGTACCGAACTTTCATAGACAAAAAAAAAACTTACTTGGATCTAACGTCACATTCTATTATGATATGGTCCAAGGCCAGTGGCTTCTGTCCCTCTCCCTTCAGCTTGAAGTAATGTTCTGTTCCATCCTCAGTGTTACATAAAACAAGCTTACCCTAAGTGAGGAAAAAGCAAAAGAATATGAAGGTATTTATTCTAGGACCAGCAGTAATCTTCAACCAAAGTAAAGTGGCATCCTTCACAAAGGTCTCACACATCTGTCACAAAATTAATCTGGGAAATAGTTTTCATATTCACCCTTCAAATCTCACCAGTGTGGCCACTTCAGCCTAGTCATCTCACAATAGCCACTATTACTCACACTGTGCTGCCCCATCATAAGCATCATTTTTCATCATCATTTTTCATATTAAGTCAGAAAAAATCCTGAAATTGATTCATGACTGCATGCAAGGGAATCACTGGTGCAGCTAGTATAAAGTGCAATTTTATACACTCAAAATGGTACACAGGTGACTAAATGCCTGGTAGCATACTTAAAGTGAATTGTATCTAGTACATACAAACAAAAAATGCATATACAACTTATTAACAAATAATAATAATAATAATAATAATAAATAGCATTTTTATAGTGCAAAAGACAGTTAGTGTCAAAGTGCTTGGAATTCGCAGTACTGCAAACAAATCTAATTTCATATCTGATATTGATGATACAATAAATGCTGATGTGTAAGCACTGTGCTGCAGGGCAAAATATTATCTGTTAAACCTTGCTACTGTACATTTAGGTTGCTTACAGTGGTGATGAGTCTCTAAAAGGGGGAGGGGGTGGGGAGCTTGATGAATAAGGGAGAGAGCGCAAAATAAGGTGATATGAGATAATTTTTATCTACTTGAGCGTGATTTTTTTTGCTTAAAAAAACCATCAAGTATTTATTTCACCACGACCAAATGGCAGTGGACAGGGGAGGAGTGTTAGCCCTCCCTACACACTACCTAGATATACCACTGGTTGCTTATTAGCTAACATTGATAAGACTAATGACAACAATCTGTAGATTGTGTACCATTGTCACCTGGTTCAAGTTTGTACATCAACTTTTAACCTTTTTACAGACAGCTCCCCATGATGATGTTTGTCAAATAATAAGTAATTGTAGATAAGAAAGTTCATGTCCACCCTCTTCTCTGTTGTTTTTTTCTCAAATTGATTCTTATATATTTTCCTTACCACATAATATGGTGCTTTTTCAATTAGTTTACGTTGTTCCAGTTTGGTATCAGTTTACTTGGCTGGTTAACTGATTTGTGTGGGTGTGTTGGTGATGAGTTGCTCTGTTTCTGATTTATCTGCGTTGGTTCTCTCCACCTAGGAGTATAAATGGGTACCTGGTGGGGGTTGCTATTGCACCAATATGGTAACAACAAGTCTAGAGGACCCAATGACCAGGGAAAAAGAAAGCCCTTTGTAATGTAAATGAAAGGCGCTACATAAATAACAAGTGACACATAAAGCTGGGCACCGATGACTGTCAGGAGCAGGGAGTGCCCGAACATACGCATACATTATACGTTACCATGGTTATGCTTTGTCTGTCTTTTTATTGTAGGGTTTGAACTTACGCATATAGTATACGTTACCAGTGGTTATGCTTTGTCTGTCTTTTTCTTGTAGGGTTTGAACTTACGCATACAGTATACGTTACCAGTGGTTATGCTTTGTCTGTCTTTTTCTTGTAGGGTTTGAACTTACGCATACAGTATACTTTACCAGTGGTTATGCTTTGTCTGTCTTTTTCTTGTAGGGTTTGAACTTACGCATACAGCATACGTTACCAGTGGTTATGCTTTGTCTGTCTTTTTCATGTAGGGTTTGAACTTACGCATACAGCATACGTTACCAGTGGTTATGCTTTGTCTGTCTTTTTCTTGTAGGGTTTGAACTTACGCATACAGTATACGTTACCAGTGGTTATGCTTTGTCTGTCTTTTTCTTGTAGGGTTTGAACTTACGCATACATTATACGTTACCAGTGGTTATGCTTTGTCTGTCTTTTTCTTGTAGGGTTTGATTTATTTTTCTATTGTGTTTTTCATTCTTATATTTTATTGTGTTGTTTACTACTCATCTGTAATGCATTTGCTTTTCTATTGATATTAATGTGTTGCACCTGTCTACAAATGTGTCTACCACACTGAGTTTGTCCTCCAGTGGGTGATTTGAGTGGAAGTGGACATACTCGTTCATGTCTGGGCTTTCTATAAACAGTTGTGCTGATGGTTCAATTTTATGAAATAGTAGACCATGTGACAATTTAGTACACAACCTCCAAATCATCATCATTAGCGTAATCAAGGTTAAACGAGGAGCACCCGAAACATAGCAAAGCAATAAAAAATCTTACAAAAACGATTTTAAAATCTACAAATTGGTGAAGGCAGTTGAAATCCCTTGAGAATACATTGTATGCTGGTGATATGCGGCACACATGTGCAATGCTAAGTGAGTAACATTAGTGATTTAAAACCGGTGCAGACATTGTGCAGAGACAAATGTACGTGGTGTTGTGCACACATGTGCATAAATATCAGGTTTGAAATCAGTACATAATATACACTGTATTTATTATACAAACGATGTCACTCACAGTGGCGGCTCTGGGATATAATTTATGAGGGGAGGAGCTAAGATGTCCGACTTGGGGGGGGGGGCTAAGTATTTATGGGTGTAACTATAGCATGCAGCGTTATCTGAGGGCCGAAAGCCAGAACCAGAGTGTCCCTCCCAAAACGAGATTTTTTTTTTAAAATTGGGACTTCTAGATAGCCAGAAATGGCTGGCATGGGAAAACTGGGCCTATTCTTTTTTTTTTTGGTCTGACTGCCTGACAAGCTTTGCCAATGTGGGGGGGGGGGGGCTTGACCAGACCAATGGGGGCTGCCACTGGTCACCCCTCCTGTTGGTGCCGCCACTGGTCACTAATGCAAGGAGTGCACACATATACTGTTGGTGCATGCTTGTCAGAACTCATTGTAGTATTTAACTGTCTTACCATGAAATTGTGTACAAATGCTACTTTCGAGCCCGTGTGAGTGGGCTTTGCATTATAAATAATAGTACAAATTAGTAAACATGAAAATAAAGCTAATTTTCTATATGGTGGTTGTGACATTGTGGGTAAGGTGCCCATACTCCAGTGGCAGGGTTCCTGGTTCAATCTTCACTAAGGGCATGAATGGCAGTAAATTCACCCTTTCACAAAAAGTTCCCAAAACATGGACTACACAGGTCCCTTGTCAATTATTTTACAAAATTAAAATTTTGATATATAAATTATAATTCTTTGGATAAAAACATATTAACAAATTAGGACTGTTAAAATGAAAATTGAAGTTACCTCTATGACTGACTCAAAGGATGGTCTGAACATCAACGGGTAATAAGAGGTTTGCTTTGCTTTTGCTAAGATGAATGGTGGTCCATAGAAACCAACACCTTCAAGACAGGCATTCAACGGCCAATCAAAATTAGTTTGATTGATCTGTGAAACAATAAAAAAATTGACATTCATGTTCTGTTTCATCAAGCATCTGTTGAAACTGACAGATAAAGATTTCATATGTCCTCTTAACAAATCAATTATGTCAGCCTTCAATAACAAAAAAATGTTGTTTCTATAATAAAGTGATACTTTTTTATTGAAATTTAAAAAAAAATGTAAAAAACAGATCTGCTTACAATGGGAATATCCTGGGTAATTGATTGATGTACTGGGGCAGTGAACTCAATCTGGGCTGCAGAGCCTTCTGGGCTGACAGTGCATTCAAGCATGTACACTCTGATGTCTTTGGGGGAACGAAGAACTAGCTGGCAAGGGTAGTGTCCCGCTTCTTTGGGGACAAATTTGATAGGTAGACGAACACTGCCCTCATCCAGAATGACACCTAAATATGAAAAATGCAATAGATAATGTAAAATTGATTTTAATTTTCTTAAATACTTATTTACACTGTAAAAAATCTACAGATGATAAATGGTACATTTAAAAAAATGTAATATACGCAATAACAAAAAATAGATAAATAAAAATAACTGACCTTTTGACCCAACAAGTCCTGCTGGTGACCTTTTAGTAATTTCACCATTTCTCATGACATCTTGGGCTGATCTAGCCTTCAACTCCAAAGGTGACGGCATGGTTACAGACGATGGTGCAGAAAAAAATCTTGAGCTAGTTTCAACAGAAAATGTTTTTCCCTCTTGTTTCTTATTACTCAACAAAGTAAGTGACTGGTCAGAAATCACTCCTCTGTCTGACAGACCCAGAGCCGCAATAGCAGCGGTGACTGTTCCTGCGGCTAAGGTGCCCGTCTTTTGACGTCGTTTTATCTCTGTGCTATTCATACGCTGCTGTGCGGCTATGACCAGCGCCTGTTCGTATGCTGTGTTCGTTAGCGGGATGGTGAGCTCCTCGTTAAGGGTTTGATTACTGTCGCAACGCCAATAGATGACTCTATCATCACCACCGTACAGACCTCTTCCTGAGCCTAATGAATCAAAGATGGTCAAAAATATTTAAAATGTATGGTCTATATTTCTGATGAGGCGAATCTAGTCATGCAAAGAAAGTGTAAAAAATATATATATATACAGTATACACATGCTCTTTTTCATAGGAAAAGCATGCAAGTCCACAATAAATGAAAAAAATAACAGTTGGCAATTCAATGCTATGACTTCTTTTAACTGCTTAGCTAGACACCGCCATCACTTGAGCACCTGTGAGTCATGCATCGGCGGGCTTTACGCCTTAAATTGCCGATAAACGGTGCGGTGTTGGTTTGGTTCGTTTAGGCGTTTTCTTTTTTCTTTGTTAGCCTAGGTTCATGGTTTTTTTATTCTCTTGTCCGTTTCCTTCCGTTGTTGTGAAGCGCCTCGAGGTTGGTCTAACGGGAGGCGCTATACAAATCGCAAACTATTATTATTATTATGTAAATTAACTTACAATACATAATAAAAATGACTAATTTGAAAAAAAAACTATCTTCTACAGTATGTGCATTATACAACATGTGTACAAAGTCGTTACAGAAGTTGACAATTTACAACTTGGTGGTACAAACTCTCTCAGGTGTAATTATCTGTCCCACTAACTGTAAGCTCCTCAATTTTTATGACTTTAAAATTATTTTTACAACCATGAATTTTTACAATCCACATTTGGTTTGATATAAAATTCATTGGAAAAATGGAATGAAAGTTATAAAACTAACAATTATTAGAAAATTGTTGGTGTTCAATAACCAGATATATTGCCAATATAAACACCAATAGAACTAAGAACTTCATATATTTTTCCTTATTGAAGAGTCACAGATATTTTTTGTTCTAGTTTAATACTATAATTATTTTCCTTTATTTTGATATATTGATGTCATATTTATATTTGTATTATATTTAGTTATGAATTGCAATAAAATGTTTCATATTCACATTTGTATAGATGATAGAGGGACAACTTTGCTAGAATTGCTTTACCAAATACATTCATGGTTGTATCTCGATTGGAATGTGCAATGTTTGTAGTTGCTCATTTTTAATCTTTCTAATTTTTGCAAATTGTAAAGCATAATTTTAAAATACACATGGTCATTGTTGCAATCATTAGGTTGACTATTGTTTGTATAGACATGTCAATCTCATTGAATTTGTCATTCGAGCTTAATACTGCAGGCGATAGCTGCAAATAAATGGCTATAAACCCAGGGAAGTGAAAGGGAGGTACTACTAATAATACAAAATCCTTTATGCACTTGTTAATTAAGGTGCTTCATTCTTTGCGTTTTTATATAATGGTATAAGTAGACTGCTAAATAAAAGAGGCTACTGTGTGTGTGTAAATCTTCCACAAGTGGTATTACCACAATAAGAGAATGACAGAAAAGTATCTTAGAGAGAGAAAGTCTACAAAATGCTAGGGGATGTACATGTCACATCTAAACTCCGGAGCATGAGAAACATGTAACTTAAATTTAGCAATCACTGAACATGTGACGAATTGCATTTCAATAATCTGGCAGTAAAAAGCAAACACTGAATACAAAAACTGGTACAAATCACTTTACATTCTTGATCCCATGTTATAGGCTGAGCAATGGAATTTTATCACCTGCTAATGCATGTTGAGACTAACATGCAACTACCTTAGAATAATAATAATAATAAGAACATGTGAAAAACAAACCATAAAGTAATAATGATTCTTGTCATGTAAGCCCTTTAGGAAAAAACAACCATGCTACAATTCAAATAACAAACATGCAAACTCTGTAAGTTTTTAAGGTGTTTCCTGGTAAAAACTAATGCTAAGCTCAATGGAATTATTACCTGCTAATTCATGTTGAGACTAACATGCAACTAATAATGAATAACAATACTAAAGAACATTTTAAAAAACAACCATAAAATAATAAATATCCCATGCAAACCCTTAGGAAAAACAACCATGCTACTATTATGTAAATAACATATGTTACACATCAACAGAATGGAATATAATACAGAATCTAGGGTCAAAGTACCACTTAATGAAGTCCTTATGGGGGTCCTTGGTAAAAAATAATCTAACTCGCACACATTCCACCAATGTGCTATAGATTTCAAGTGGGAAGTTCGCACTCTACCAGAAAAAGAAAGAAGTTAAATCCAATTTACACAGGACGAAACGCTGCACAGCAAGCATGCTGCACAACACTAAGTATTTCCTATCTATGATCACAGTCCATTTCACACTTAAAATTGATGTGAGCTTTATTTTGTTTCTTCGGGGCAGTAATTAATTAAAAATATCTAAAAGCACAGAACGTCTAACTTAGGTCCATTCTTCTCTTCTCCTGGGTGTATCATCTTTGGCATTAAACATTAACTTCATCAGAACACTATTTGTCTTGCAACAATTAACATGAACACACTAATCCAAATAGACTTGAATTTCAAGCTCAACAATCAATCTTATAATTACAGTAGTCATTCCAAATACATAGATAGCTAGGCAGATAAATAGTGAAGATGCTACAGAAACAAAGATAAGCTCCACCCCTGCGAGCATGTGCACACATCCGTTGCTAAGCAATGTTAAGCTTGCTTCAGACTCAGGGGCGGATCTAGCAGGGGGCATGTGCCCCCATTTTGGTAATAAATTTTAAAATTTCAATGCATATCAATGTTATGTACTGAAATAATCACTACATATCGAGAAAAAATGTTGTGCCTGCCCCCGCCCCCACCCCCCAAATTGAAAAATTCTGGATCTGCCCCTGAAACTAGAGCAATTTGAAGCTGCTAGCGTTAATTGCGTTAATCTGTCTAAAGTTAATGTGAACCAAACTGTATGCATGCAACTAAGTGTATAACATTCTTTAAACATGTGACATAATACTGTCAGCACGTGAATAACATGCAAAAACCATGTTACTGATAATTATGCTGCTGAAAAAATGTTATGTTATCAACATGACACATATAATACTAACGTGTGAATAACCTGCTAAGAATATGCAATTACAAACCATGATACTATGTGATTAACATGCTTACAACACGTGACACATTCTGATGTGAGTTTGCATCAGGAAAATATAGGAGTGATGTTTTGCCCTACCTTTGGAACGTACTGAGTATTCAGTACAATAACAGGTCAGGTAGGACAAAACATCACTCGTATAACATGTGACACACATGTGACTAACATGTCACTAACCTGCTGCAGCAGCACTGCTTATTCTGACGCTGTGTTTGGTTGGCGTAAATGGCAAACAAGATGGGAGTGGCAGCAGAGCTGTGGCCTCAATCGAGTACAAGAATTCTCCCACATCCTCATTGATGAACAGCACTGAGCACTGGCGCTTACCAATGTTGAACGGCAGGAAGTCAATGTAAACTGTTGTGACGCTATTCGCATCAATTTTAACCAATTTCTTATCACAAAAGAATGCACTCACCAGGCCATTCACATCCGCTAAAACACAATATTTGTTGTATTAGAGATATTTTAAATTCAATCAACTGATTAATAAAATAATTATACATTCTATATATAATTAATTGTTGATATAAATTTACAGCATAAAATGAAGATACAATGCTGGAAAGTAATAGACATTTACATGAATTCAAATAGCTATACATGTACAGACTTCAGTAGTGGCAGTTTGGCGCAGCGGTTGAGGTTTGGGCTTTCAATCGTAGGTCAGGGTTTTGAGTCTCCGTGCAGATTCGCTTGCATCCTTGGGCAAGACATTTTAGCAACATTGCTTCAGTCCACCAAGCTGTATTAATGGGTACCAGCAAACTGTTGGGGACTAATCGGCGACAGACTAGTGTCCTGTTCAGTGGAGTACAACTCTCATCCGCTTCACACTACAGAAACTGGGGATAAGCTCCAGCCTTACAAGCCCCTAGTGTCTCGGAAAGGATTTAGTTTAGTAGACTTTACACAATGTACTATTGTAATGTAAAAGCATGCTTTTTTTGTTTAAAATTTTGTATTTGTCAAATTTCTTGGGCATAAAAATCCTGTTAATCGCTCATTTTTACTTAGTACCAGATTAACTGACAGTATACAGTAGGAAGTTTGCTTTATATGATAGGCAAATGTCAAACCAGAGGCCAGAGGGCCCATCTCTTTCTTACGACATTTTGACCAGACAATGCAAGGCTGTGAGGGGTTTGCCATCCCTACCACACAGCAAGTCTATTTTACCTACACAGCATATGCTGGTACCCATTTATACTCCTGGGTAGAGAGACAAACATATTAAAAACTTCATGAATAAATTTAAAAACATACTTTCCTTATTTTCCATTTCGGTCTGCATATCTTCTACAGTTAGTGGGGTTGGTGAGCGCTCTTTTCTCTGCCCATGGTCAATCTTAGACCGTACTTTCTTAGGCCTTGTCTTTTCGCCCTTTGTGTTCATCAAGCTGCTGGTTTTACTTTTTAAATCCATTGAGGGGAATGTTTCATTTGCCTCAACTAGGACAATACGAAATTCTGCACTTTTGTTGAATGGGTTTACAACTTCAATTTCAACTTTGTTCAGCTCATAGCAAGGTGATTCGCATTTGATTGTAGCCTTTGAAAACATTTTAAAAATGTAAACAAAAATTTGATATTAATCTTGGTGGTTAAAGTTATCTGATTTCTACAAAAAGATATCAGGTAGCACTTCGCGGTAGGACATATAATGTAATGTCGTCAACAAGAAGTGCATATGAAAACATAAAGTTCTAATCGTCACATGGTTTCTAAGACGTATTTTGACCAAATCTACATTGTGAAGAGAATGTAGGACAGACACTCATAAGTTAATCCGTTCTACGGTCACATCATCGCATAAATCAAAAGCTCCCTAATATTTATCATGCTAATGCTAACTTACAGAGGGAACAATATTATCAATTGAAGTTCTCAAATTGAACACCAATGTGGTCCCACAAGCTGATCCAAGTCTCCTTCCAACCAGTACTAGCACTCCCTCTGCTGGTCTCAAGAATCGACTAGTGAACTCCAACATGAGGTCATAGTTGCTCTTTGGTGCAACAGTAATCTGCTTTATGTTTGGTATTCGGAAGTCTTGGGCATCCCGTCCGGCAATAAATGCGTGGTAGATAAGAGGCTTCTTGCTTGGATTTGTCAACCGAACCTAGACAAAAAAAACTCCCATCAACAATTTAGACCAGAGTTAACTTTTTTTTAGATACATGTTCACATCATTCCACAACAACAGGGGCTGAAATGAACCATAACATCGGGGTAACCCCCTACTCTTCCGAAAGATGCAATGAGTTCTTTAAAGGCCAACTCAGACAGCGTCGGCCGACGCAGCCCGACGCGATTTGTTGTCGCGTCGGGTCTGTGTGGGTTGAACGCAGACGCGATGGTGTGCGTCGGGGGCAGTCGCGTAGTAGAATATTAAATGTGTTTAATATTTCTCACGACGGCTTAAGACTGTCCCTGACGATAAATCGGGTCGGGCTGCGTCGGCCGACGCTGTCTGAGTTGGCCTTAAAGTGCACACGAGCCAGATGTATACACTGGACCTCCATTTTAAGTCCTTATCTGAGAAGACTTGGTTCTACCAACCGAACCATGGGCGAGGAGTGGCTGAAACCAACGCCGATGTTAAGGCTGTAGCTAGCGGCACCCCTGCCTTACTGCTCAGCCACTCGACTCGCCCGCAAGCTGTTACTATATTTATTTATTTATGTGTGAATTTTAATACCTCCGCCAAGGAAGTTATGTATTCTGTCTGTCCTCGATATTGTTTGGTATTCGGAGGAGGTATGCACTATATGGAGTGACTCCTCTAGTTTATGTAATAATAAAGGTCCATGATTTATGTAAACCTTTTCTCTGTCAGATTCATCTGACAAAATTTTGTTTGGATTTATTCGGTCTGAAGAATTATTTCCAATGGGGTGATTGGGCAATACACTGGCAGACAATTGCTTTCTTTAATGTGCACATGACCTATACAGCACACAGGACCAATGGCTTAATGTCTCATCCGAAAGACGATGCACATTTTTTATACTTGCATTTCAGCCAACACATGGAAAGCAGTGGATGGTATTGAACCGGGAATCAAAGTATCTACATGGTTCAGTGCACACGTAGTGGCTACCACCAGTTTAGCCAACAAAGCTATAAGGAGAGCAGCAGATGGTATTGAACCGAGAACCAAAGGATATGCATGATTCAGCGCACACACAATGGCTACCACCAGTATAGCAGACTGAGTTATACTGCCCTCAAACACAGAAAGATACACAATTTCGTCGCTCACATCACGAACTAACACAATCAAAGTAGATTGTGTTAGTTCGTGAAATCACAGTAGCGCGTCAAAACGAGCGCGTATTGGTTGTCAAGCAATTTTGTATTCTTTACCACACAAAAAGTCCTTAACGACAGCAGCGCGTATTTTGACACGCTTTTTTGATTCCACGAACTAACACAATTGAATTTAATTGTGTTAGTTCGTGATGTGAGCGACGATTTGTTTGATCTGATATGTTAAAACATTCAAAGTCAATTCAATAACTTTATAGGTACTTAACCATCTTAATTTATTACCTGCATACACAAATCTGAGAATTATTTACTTAGCTATCTAGTAAGTTTATTGCTACTTAAGCCATCTCAAGGTATTACCCACATGCACAAATGTGTGACTTATTTACTTACCTGTCTCGTAACAGTTGCATGAAGGGAACCCAGAAAGTCTACAGAGCTCTTGGGCACATACTGTGGTAAGCGTTGGTAAAGATGAATGCAGAGCAACAATAGAGATATTGGATTAGGATCAGTAATGTCTATGGCCTACGGAATAAAAAAATATATAAATGTATTGGATTATATGTTGTAATAACAAGCCAAACCAGTCACGCCTCCAAAAAAATTGATTCTTAGTTATATATACAGGGTTAAACAGTAAAATGAGAGCTATAAAATGGTAAAAGAATCACTTAAATCCGAAGTTATGAAGTTACAGGAAATTTAAACATACAGCTGTTTAAAGAACAATATTTGAGATATCAGCCTTCAAAGTTTACGATTTAAAGCATTTCCCAGGCAGAATCCATCACCAAGTCATTATAAATTGTTGTTTTAACATAGAAAATGGCAAAAATAACAACACAGCATGATGTATATAAAAAAGATTAGTTCACTGCAATAAAATAGACTTCAAAAATGTTGACATTCCAGCAAGTTTTGGCCATTATCTCTGAAACACGATTTGCGACTATTGATTGGTTTGACTTGTCTTTGCCACATATACAGAATTAGTATAAAATATGATTGTAGCATTATCTATTATTACTTATGTTAGCTTATGTCTAAATTATGATATTATCATCAGTAAAACCAAATTATTGAATATATACTCAAATCACTCACCTGGATATCATAATCAACTCCAATACTCTTAAGGGCATTTACTACTTTGAGTGCATTATGCAGGCACTGTTCAGCAGTGGCTGGGTGCGTGTACATATCTCGTAAGTGTGTGTTGACCTAAGAAGAAATTAAAATATTTATTAAAATATTATAAAATGTATAACAACTTGTCTATACTTTTGTAATCAGCTGAGATAAACACTAGTTCAAACATTACACAATTTTAATCACAAAAATTTCATTTGGTGAGACATTGTTTATACATTTTTTAAATAAATTGTTTATACATTGAAATCTCCAAAAATAAGATTTGTATATTTATACCTAATTATATAAATTTAAAGCATTTAACTATTACATTACGACACTGTTTACATTCAACAATAAAATTTTATTGTTAATTTCTCCTCCATCTGGATGTTTTTGGCAAAACCATAGAAAACAAATTTTTTTTTTTCATTTTTTTCCCACCCTGCTCTTACGATAAAAAAGGGAAAAAAAGGAATCAAGAAATAAGTCCTGTCTTAGGAATTTAATATTTAAAACAAATTCAGCCAAATTCTTTTTCACTATGATATGTTTTATTATAAGATAACAGATTGATACTAATGTTGCCAAAAACGTTCATGTTAACTAGCTCTCCCAATTGCACAATTACAGTACAAGCATCTGGGTAGAACTAATTTTAAACAAGTAGCCATCACAACAGTATCCAAAATGCAAGATGTAAATAAATAAAGTGTATTTAACAATATTCAAGCAACTCATCAATTTCAATAAACCCTGTAGTCAGGACATAAATTATTCATAATTCAAAAAAGTATGTTTAACTATAAATAATCAATCACTTAGTCATTCTTTTAATTAAGTTATCCTTTTGCTAGCAAATTATTATTGTTTCTATTCTGAATACAGAACCTTGTGATTAAAGGAACTGAATAATGTACAAGAACCACTGGACTCAATCCACTTTTGGTTTGAAATACATACTTTTGGCAAAAACTCATGAAACATACCAGAAATGGAACGTGAGCGGCCAGCAGAGCTGCCAATACCAAGCCGTCTAAGAGGTCGTAGTCAAAATTCACTACCCAACGGGAGGGAGGAACTCCTCCTGTAATACAAATTCACATTTGTAAGTTGATTTTACAGTTGCAAAAATTGTTAGTGTCAATATTTCTCACTGTTCTCTATTGTGAAATTTGGTTATATGTTCATTTTTGATATTTTCTTAAAATTAATGTATATTTTCATGATTTTCCAAACAAGTGTTTTTGTTAATACCTGTTAACTTCTTTTGCAATTGACATTTTAATAGCAAAATGTGAAGATATTGATAAAATAAATTTAAAGTTGGTATTTGGTGCTTTCCACACTCGTGGTTACAGTAGCAGTTTCACAAACATTACTGATTATTAGAGTAGAACTTGCAATATTAAAGTTCAATTTTATAATGTAAGACTAAAGCCATGCAGATGATTTGTGCAAGATTGTGCCATACCAAAGCCATACAATGCAGAAAACAAATTTGATCCAATATTTCATTTACATACTAGATCAGTCACTCCACAGTGTGCATAACATCTGCCCCTGTGCATGGATACTGAACAATACACAGGCTGTGTATGATGGGCGACTCCATTATTTTCTTCGATGCACGAGGATAAATTCAAGGGGAAAAAAAAACAAATATCTGTGGCATTGACTTTGTGCTTTGAACTTTCCTTCCCAAAAGTTAATCCTCTCTTTCTGAGTATGTACCATTCCACAAATGTTATGATGAAACAATCCTTAGTTTTTGCATAAATCTATTAACTGCCAAGCAGACAGAGAGGCAGACTTGGTGAATAAATTAAATCCTTGGTGGAGATGACTGAATTATAAACGAGTGAAAGCGTACTTTAAACCAGGGTACCAAAGTAAAATGATGTTTAACACAACATACTTGAAAAGAATTTGGATAATTAGATTTACATTCCAAACTCGGCAACAATCACTTAAGTAACAATTTTGGGTTAATATATGTGCTCAAGCATGAGATGACTGAAAACAAATGTAAAAATACACACAAACATGTGAGACAGACGACATGAAAATAAATACTCAATGGAGAAAAGTGGCAGAATCATTACCTGTTGGACGGTGAAATACAAGATACTGAGACTCTACGTAAAGCAAATAATGAAGCGAAGAAGAAGACAATAGATAATATTATTATTTACTGATTCAGAATAAGGGTTCCAATGTTTACAATCAAATAAAATGCAGCCAGAGACCTCATTAATACAATAATTACTTTTATCTATAACATATATTTTATTTACACTATTAAATCATTCACATTTACAATGTATTATTTTGTTTAAATTAAATTAATTAACAGTGCTTTATTAAATTACCTTTATTACATTCCACCCATATCTTGTGCCGCTGTTGCTCATAATAATGGTTCAGCCAGGATAAAAGAATTCTCTCCCCGACACCATATATATTACTAGACTGGGGATCGGCATTGACAGACGGTAGTGTCTGACCCCCCGGCGCAGCATGGGTCTTCAAACTCCTGGGAGTCACTCTTGACAAAATGAGAACCTAAGAAAAAGGTTTAGAATGTAATTTTACTTTAGGCAAATTTGTAAGCATTAATTTTTGATTTCTTAGCTGATATTTTTGGACCTTTTCAATATAAACATTACTGCTATCCAAGTGGGCTCATTAAACACTATTCTATTAACTGCATTACCTTCTGCTACCCATTCATATCATAGTGGATATCTCACCTGAGGATGTGTGCACAAAGGCTTGTGTTGCAATATTTATTTATCAATCCGTATTCTTTATGTGAGTAAACTTTTCAATATATTACTGTTCTCCAAGTGGGCTCATTAAACACCATTCTATTAACTGCATAAACATAATGGTTTGTGCAAATTTGTGAATGTAAGTCAATTGAAGACTTAAACCATTTCCTTTTTGACTGTCCACCTTTAAAACATATACGGGATAATTGTCTTAAACATCTTCGGAATGACCTGGAAACATGGGGACTATCATCCTATTGGGATGTATTTTATGATAGGTCTAATGAACGCCACTTATTACATTATAATTTCTCCAATGTTTTTCCTTATAATATTGTTAATGACCTTTTTGATTTAAATTGTAAACAGTTAATTGTAAGGTGTATAAAAGAAAGAAATATTTTGTTATCTGAATTGCCACCTCAACAAGTCTAGGAAATATTTCTAGACCTTTTTAAGTGTTATTTAATGTGTCTTAAATCTGTTTGATTTATGATTGTTTAATCGTTTAAATATTTGTTTTACTATAGATTAACATACTTTTGGTTTTTACAATTAAGTTTTATTTTTTAAATTTTATTTTGTATTAAGGTATTTTGGATGCACCATAAAACTTGTTTTATGTGTGCCACTGTTGTAAAAGTGAAGTCTAAATTAAATTGAAAAATTGAAAATAGCTTCTACTGTACTATCCATTGTTCTACAGACCAGTATAGTTACTTATAATTGAATACTATTTAGTATTTTGTTTATGCATCTCTTGTCCATTTGTACCATTATTGTATTGCTTACAACTGAAATGAATTTAAATCAAATATATGCAAAATAGAACAACAATCACATACCACATGTACAAATACAAACAGAGTCATAAATATATAGATAGTATAGAGATAATATATTTATTATAGTGACATAAATATATATTAATTTATATTAATAAATAATAATAATTATTATAATGATTATAATAATTATGAAGAGATGACAGTGTTATAAAGAAGGCTATTGAACAGTTACAAACTTCACAAGATTGCACAGAATTGACCAGAATATCTTTATCACTGCACATACAACAAACTCACTTTTATATTACCAAAGAGACAAAGAAAAAATTAATTTAACACTACTTTAGCCGATATCTAAACTGCAGCAGCGTACAATGAAAATAAATATGGTGTTTCACCTACAGTTGTGTGGTTATCATCACTCCTTAGTAATGAAATTGGAACTGAAACATATTTGAAGGTACATAATACTTTGTGTAGTGCTGTGACTTTTTTTTTATTATCATAAAAGCATTGTAGAATATAGTAGACTCAAATGTCATTGTGTTTATTACTAGCCTCATCGTTACAGAACACTCCACCAGAGATGAATATAGGGGTCCCTAGAGGCATTTTGTTCCAATTACTGGGTGAATAAGTTAAAGTAACCTGGAGGCCTTAACATTGTTCTATATTAAGCAAGCATGATTAAAAAATTTGTAATTTGGGTGATGATGAGTTTGAGCAGTCAACGGCTCTTTCTGGAGTGTCAATCAAACTTAACAATTGAATGTGTTATTCCAGCAAACACACAAGTTAATGGCTTTCACCTAGCAACAAGATCCAAATGTGCATGCCTTAGCTGAACAGTCCATTTTATTTGACAGTTGTTGGTTTGTTATTCAAAAAAATAGTAAACAAAGTACTTTGAGGTCTTTTAAATAACTGAAACCAGTATATAAACATAAATTATTACCCTTACCTTGATAGACTGGAGAAGAAGGTCTGTCCATGCTCTCTTGGACACAGACTCAAACAGCACCTGATCCAAAGTAGTATCCACCTGAAGAGCTTGGAGGGGGGACACCTGTGATTTAGATTCAAGCTTCTCTTGGATATTGAATTGCATCTTCATGTATCTCTGGTAGTCATTTGGCTCAAACAGGTATTCAGGTTTAATGCTAGCTACAGATGCACCTTGGCTCCTGTAACATAAAGCAAACACAAATAGTAAACAAATCAATAATAATATTATATTCAATTTAATTTAATTTTTTTATTTTGTTTCTATTTTATTCATTTTCCAAAAACACAAAAATACATAAAACAACAGTACAATCAGCACCTGAGGGTAGCCATAAGTAGGATCAATTCAAAGAATTGCACTGTCAAGTGGCTTTCCCAACTAAGAGTACTTAAAAAAGTATTTAAAGAAGTATTAAAATTCAATATAATTGGTCACTTTTTTGAGCTCCCTTTTAATTGCTATGAAAACTTAAACAATGACAAGTTCACAACATACAAAATTCACAAAATGATGACAGATTAACACATTGGAATAAATAATAAAAATGAATAAAGAAAAGTTGGAAGAACAAAAAGAAATTATAAGCCGAGGTGCTGTTTGACAGTGTACTTCTATATACTTAAACCATAGATTTTGAAGGCATCTACTCACCTTAGGAATGTCAACAATGTGGAGTACATCCAGTGTAGCTGCAGCACCCTCTCAGCTGGGTCGCTTGGCAATGCATGGTCAATGGGAATACCTGGAATAGGACGTCCACTCAAATGAGCAATCATGTCAAAGATGGTCTTAGCAAATTTCTTCTTCTGGTTGTTGGTTGCCGGACTGCCTTGCACAGTTTTATCCCGTACAGCATCTTTCACAGAGTTCTTGGAGATTCCACTAGGAAAAGAGGAAGGGAAAGATAACATCAAAGTTTTGCAGTTTCATTGACAATACATCTTTTAACAAATGCTAGAAATAGTCAGAAACTCAGATACTTTATTTCATCCATACAATCGTATAGAAATTTGTTTTCCACCAGCTTTAAACTAAATACAACGAATCAACACAATACAGTATTAATAAATAGGTCAGATTAAAAGACATTTAAGATGGGAACAAAAACACTGTAAACTTACCACTCCAACCCCTCCCTCCCCATCACCGTGCCACCCTGGAATTAAACGTGTGTATGCCATCGGGCAGGAAGGAATACCTATGTCGATTTTTTTTCTTACAAATAACATTTTACAGTATATTGCATTAGAGGATATTGATGTCATATCCATTTTTCTATTTCTTTCTGATGGATGTTAAAAATCAGAATACACCACATACCTCCTCATTGTGTCTGGAACTGTGGCTGGACAAGGTCCACCGCCCCAGCCATGTAGTGTGATCCAACGCTGAATGGCCATCAATACTTCATGGTGAAACACCCCTTCCTCTGAGTCTTCATCAGGGAAGGCAGCCGAGCCTAAAGATCTTGACACTAGGCCTAGACGGCTCTGTGGGTCGTAACTGGAACCACCGTTAGTGGCATGATTCACAGCACCATCACGAGGAGTGCTACGATAGGTTGACTCTGTGTAAATAATATGTTAGACTTACATAGCACTTAATGTCAACAAGGCCTCAAAGTGCTTCACATTATTGTCATTGGATCAAACATAAATTGAACACATACTCAGCTCCCTGGGGAGAATTCCAATGTTGCAAATGTAATCATCGTATTTTGTGTTTGAACCTACCAGGTACCCATTTATACTCCTGGGTGGAGAGACACAACCGCAGGTAAGTTATTATGTTGAAAGCTATTGAGGAGAAATTTAAATGTAGTGTAAAGTAAAATTTGGTCCTAGTGGGTAACTGGAAAATTTTGGAAATGGTGTATAATAATGATTTGACAAACAGATGGTTTGCAATTTACCAGTAACACTAGCCGTTGATTCATCATAAGTAGATGAAGTAGCGCCAAATCTTGAGCTTGTACTTGAACTGTTTCGAGTCGATGGTCTAGTTGGCGATTCCACCGGCAGGATCATTGCTTCCCCAACATTCACACTTTCTTTTGAAGATGTGCGTCTTCCTTTAAGAGAACGTCCCTGCTCTGTTACAATTTGGTAGTCAGTTCGATGTTTGGCGATGAAGTGGTAGGCAGTAAGTAAACAGTTGTCTGCAGTTGCAGTAACCACAATTGAAAAACTGCAAAATGTCAAAATAAATTTATATATATACTAGATCATTATTATTTTTCATAATCATGATGATGTATTAAGCCTGAACATGAAAAAATGTTTCTAATGCACAACTCGATTCTCTAGTCAGTCTCATTAATTTTGTTTGCATTCTTACATATGACCTCATGAACACTAATACAATATAAATGTTTCTCCTATCATAAATGATTTGTATATGCTTCTATTTTTAATTGACTGTTTCTCTTTTTAAATTCATCCTTTGAAGCCCCATTGGCCTTGTTGGGATGAAAGAATGTCCACTGTGACATTATGAATGTGTGTAAATATTGTTGCCACTTGGCAAATACTACTAGACACAATACTAGACAACACCTTGAAACACAAACACTAACCTGTTTCCCATGTCATCAAGAAATTTGATGGGTTGAGAGAAAGACACTGGTCTTGGAGAACAGAACGTAACCCTACACTTCAGGATAAATGGTTCCTGGTGACCTTCATCAACAGAGCATGGCTGGATGGTCTGACCATCTGGAAAGGAGACTGCCAGAATGGAGGACGTGCTGCCATCTTCAAGTTCAATGTCAGGAAGTTCCACATCGATGACATTTTTCCTAAGAATTTTTGTAAGAATTGATTAGTATAATTTTCCATATACAATATATATATTTCAATATATTTTAATCCTGTTTAGTATTCAAAACTGCCTTTAGCAATTTTCATGTTTGTTCCTTATTTGTATTATGCCATTTATTTCTTTATGAAACGACAAAATAAATGAACTAAAAAACTCAACTGTCTAAAACCAGCTGCTTGTATGGTGAAATTGGCGGAGACTTCTGTTGCTAATGGAACTGGTGTGAGGACAATAGCAATGGGGTCAAATGTCAGCCTGGGTGACTTCAAAGTGCCATGAATCTTCAGGTGCTGGTAAGGTTGATCTTTGTTGCCATTGAGAATGAGAGGAACATCAGCCTTGTACTCACCAGCTTCCACTAAAAACAAATAAAGATTGACGTTACTTATGATGAGTAAAATGGGGCTGATGTGGAAGGATGATGATGATGATTATGTTGCAAGTGATCAAGAGGTGATTACTGAATTAATAATATACTGACAATGCAAGATTAAAACAGTTATGCTGCATACCTGGACAAAACATGACTCCAAGACCATATGTCTCGCCAGGAGTTAAAGTTCCACCCACAGCTCCACCTCCTTTCTTATAAGAAATGAATGGCACACCAGAAGGCATCAAGAACCGGAAAATACCATCTCCAGTGGCTTTCCCACAATTGTCCAGATTCAGACTCCAGACAAGTTCTTTATCACTATTGTTCACAAGCATTGTACCTCTTGTTTGTCCTAGAACATTGCCACTTTCTTTGAATCCAGATGGTAGGGAAAAGTCAATGTGATAGTGTGACAACTGCAGAGGTTGTCGCAGAGCAGTGGCAGTGATTTTCCTTTTCGGGGTTGCAATGGTCACAACCATAGGCCTTGGGGTAATGATATGCTGGATGCTCTTTGATGATGGTGCTGGTGTCGGTGGGAAGGGGGTCGGATCTGGTGAAGGTGGATCTACCTGGTTTATGGTGACATTGATGTTAAAGTCATATGATGCTACCTCTGTTGGACGGAAGATAAGCTGGCAGTTGATGGTCTCTTCCCTCCTAAGTGAAACCTTATAGATGCCTGGACTAAGAATGTCCTCTGTCTCTGAAATACATTAAAATATTCCCTAGTTTACAAAGGGTTATCTTCACTAATAAAAAATGTATAATATACAGTTTAGAATATAAATGAGAATATTTGTGTAAACATATTTCTCAAATGAGAGCAGTTGGCACAGCATAAGCTGTCAGCTTCTTATATTATTGAGTTTTAATGGAATGGAAGTAATTAGATAAACCCACAATTAACTGGATATTTCTATGAATAAAGACAGGACATAATACCTTCCATCACATCTGTGTCAAACTTGAGGATGAAGTCTCTGTAGCGCGAGAGGTCAAAGACAGCTTTGGCTGGTGTTCGCACCTTGTTGATCAGTCGAAATGGAAGCGCAAGTTCAGAACCACAATAAACACCACCAAATTGGAATGCAGGCTAAAAATATAAAGAGATAACTAAAATGAAGTGTTGAGTATTATTAAAAAGGGTAGAAGAGCATAGAATGTGTACATTTTTAACATTCACCATTGTATCCCCAAAATAGACAATTTTTTTTTATTCACATACGATAACAAGTAAACTCAGCATTAAAGTACATAATTAAAATGCATAGGATAAAAAATTTTAATTTAAATAAAAAAGTCACTGTTGAACGTTTGATATCCTTACCATATCTATATTAACAGAAGGGGGAGCAACTGTTCCACCCATCCTTAAATCAATTGTCTTCCATCCCCGAATGGAAACCTCAAGTCTAGTATCAAATTTCATGAGAGCACCTGGAGTAAGATATATCTTGAGCTCAGTGTTACCTCCAACAGGTATAACACCCTGCACTGGAGAAACCATCAGGCCTGGCACAGGATTCGGGTCCAAAACCTTCAATTAAAAATAATGAAAAGAATACTTAATTGTTGAATTCACAGTAGCACACTTCAGTCAATTTTACCAGTCAGCTAGTATGCATAATTGGAAGTTGTAGCTATATGCTGTATTAAATCCAATCCCATTATGGAGACTTCAGGATATTTACATTTACAATAATAATAATTAAATAATATGAATATTCATGATTGAAATACCTGAAAATATGCATGGTTGTGGCTATTGTTATGTAATACTGCTGTTTGTGTTGTAGTCAGGTGTAATGGTACTTGTCCAAACAGTATTCGCCTCTCCATAAACATCACTTGAGTTGGCCCAAGCTGGGGAAGAAAATGAATGTACTTCATCTAATCTCGATCTATCAGTGTAATGTTTCATGTTTAGGATTTGACCAAAAATTACGAAATGAAGATATAGTAAGGAATAAGCCAAACTTACATCAGCCATGCACTTCAGTTTTAATTCATCACCACCATGGACCTGCAGGATAAATTCTCCTTCCTCTGGAGCATGGAAAGATGGATGGAAGACCACTTCACAATCAAGATCCTTGAAAGCGTCCACGGTTCCTTAAGGAAAGAAGGAAAAAAAATTAAAAGAATAAATAAATGATCAATTAATTTATCATTATATTTTCTAAAATGATTAATATATTTCTATTAATGCATGATGTGTTCATAACCAAGTAATGAGAAGCAGCCTCTAACAAAATTTTCCATTAGCAAACCCTATTAAATTATTAAGCATCATTGTCATCGCCATCCTTATCGCTGGCAATGTTTGGCCCATGTGTATGGTTGTTGAAAGGTCTAGTGGTAGATGAGTTATGCATGTATATGTCACCTGTTGCTGGTCGGATGGAGAATGCAGTTCCTCTTTCTCCAAGAATAGGTTGCCAGGTAAATTCTGCTGGATAATTTCTTTCATTCCTTAGGCTAATCACACTTCTTAGACCTATGAGAAAATGAAGATGATAGGAAATCCAATAAATGCAATATGCAGAAAATAAATAATTTTGATATTCAAAAAACATTATATCCTAAGAAGATCGATGAATGATACATGCATGAATGATGTATGTGGTGAGTCGCATGGCCGAGCGGTTAGCAGGGGCGCCGCAAGCTATAGCCATAATATCTGCGCTGGTTCGAACGGCACGCTCGCCGATGGTTCTGGTGGTAGAACAAGTCTTCTCGGATAAGGACTATAAACCGTAGGCCTAGTGTATACAATGGCTCGTGTGCACTATAAAGAACCCAGTACATCCTTCGAGACGAGTAGGGGGATACCCCGGTGTACTGGAACAGACAGGCCCTGTGGTGGACGACGAGAGTTGCTGGTACCGGGTTACCGGGTAGCACAGACACGAAGGGACACTGAGGGGCGAAGAAAGTCATTGATCGAGTTCCTAGTCCACATTTCAAGAGCCCTGAGCATATGACATTAGCTGGATTTGTGCGCTATATAAAACTACACTATTATTATGTGTATGTAGACAGATGGATAAATAAATAAATTGTAGCCAAATGTTCAATACCTGCTTCAGCTGGCATTCCTGGGGTTGGTTTGATCTCCAGAAGTTCGGTAGGAAGAATTAAAGCAACGGGCACAACATCTGCCCTCACCACAATGTGATCTTTATGATGTCCGTTCACTGTATACTTGACATTTCTACAGAATGCAAACACAGTTTAAATTTACATCATTAAAATAATGGATATATTGCCATTTATTGTTTTGGGATTTTTGATTTAAAAAATGTATTTGCAGATGTGTACAGAAGCCAGATTCAAACCAATTAGGTAGAAGAATCATCCCAAGTAGATGGACAACCTGTCCTACAATTTGCAGCTATGATTTATATGTTACACAATGTAACAAAAATTATGGGTATTATATAGGTGCATGAGATTAATAATTTTTTTGTAAAGAGGCATCATTTATATTTATTTATATATTTATGATTTATTTATTCTTTCTTTATACTGTATGCACTTTCAGTAATATTGCACTGATTTTCAAAGTGGTACAGTTTACAGAGGATGAACAATGTAGCAGTATGAACAATATGTAGCAGTATAAAGACAATGCGTGCACATTAAAAAAAATGATGAACTGGATTTGAATATGGAGGTGGGGTATCTGCAAGGTGAACAGCAAATCCACCCTTGTTCAACTCACCTTTGGAATGCTCCTTTGGTGTTGGATTCAAAGATGAGAGGAAGTGCTGCTTTACAATTTGGTGGAACAACTTGAGACAGAGGGCTCGTTTGACGCAGTTCATTGCAATCAATCTGATGAGAAAATGACAAGATTTACTTTACTAAGCTTCACATGCTAGGTAATACTGTAATAACAGGAGCCTCCCTGGCTAAAGAATTTTTGAAATAGTTTAAGGTAAGATAAGAAAAGATATGTAAAATCAATGCTACACAGAATGATATCTAATGCTAACTTACCGTTCTATCAATTTATAATAATTTTTTTATTTAATCAAAATTAGTGTTATCTTACCTCTACCAGGATGTGGATGTATTGGCTGAGATTGTTCACAATATCCAAACTTCTTGAACTGGTAGACTTGAGGCAAACTCGACCAAAATCAATTACTGGTGGTCCTTTAATAGCAACAATATAAACTATATTTTGGTTTTCTTAAGTAAATACTCAAATAAATAGATTATCAGTCTATTTTGTGCCAGTGGAAGTTGTGTATGATGGGTGTGATGTGTTAATTCTTAGTGCTGTTGTATTCTGTACTAGTTGAAGCTGGTTGATGGATTTTTATGAATGTCAAATAGGAGGGAATTAAATACATACACACACTGAACATAATTGTACTATCAGTGTTCTCCCTAGCATCATGGGCAAGCATCATGGTAAGTGTTAAGTCCACCATAGCTGGGACTGACACAAGGTATTTTTAATAATTAGGAGGCACTGAAACGTCCTAAATTGCATTTTAAAACTGTATAAAAGCAGGGAACAGTTAAATAATTTAACTGTTCCCTGATAAAAGCATGGAAGATGTTCCAAGCATCATGGGTAAAGTCCCAAGCATCATGGTACCATGATGCTTCAAGGGCCTGGGGAGAACACTGACTATATCCATTTACATATACAGCCCACAAGACAAATTTACATTTTGTCTAGTAGAGTATATTTCTATAAAGAGACAGACCACTACAAGCAAAAAGGGAAAAAAGCGTGAGAGAGTAGGAAGGAATGAAAATAACAGAGTTGAAAAATAAAGGCTAATAAAAGAGATAAAAACGAAATAAGAAATACTTACCAATGATAACTTGGTAGAGGTGCTGTGGAGAAAGCTTTGTTTTGCAGTCCATCTTCTCTTGAGGGGTCATAGGTACTGCATTTAGGCCTCCACTGCTAGGCCTACTAGTTGACAGCATTTCTTTGTTAGTCAGCCACTTTGAGCTCAGCATACGATTTCCATTATTCGGTGGGGTTGGAGCTAGAATAAGGTATAATATTATAACAATAACAGGATGATAGTGACGATGGTGATAATGAAGGTGATGACAATGGTGGTGATGATGATAATGGTGATGATGATAATGATGGTGATAAGGAAGATGATGGCGATGAAGATGACTGATAATGATGAAGGTTATGATAATGATGAAAATGATGGTGTTGATGAAGACGATGATGGTGTTGATGAAGACAATGATGATGATCATGATGATGAAGATCATGATGATGGTGATGATGATGATGATCATGATGGTGGTGATGATGATGATGTGGATAATGATTGTGATAATGATGATATTCTGCTTACATTTCACAATATTTTTGATGTCATCAACTTTAAGCTTTGATGGTCTGAGTCCAGATGCTGGTTTCAAGCCAATATCCTTGGCAGTATTCAATGTCTTGAACTCCCTGTTTGATAAAATATTACAAAAGTAACTATTTTGCAATTACAAAAAACTCAAACCAATACAATGTTTCAGACTGAACAATGTTAGTCAAAACCGGGAAATGCATCTTAATCTTAACTTTGTCAGATCTATCGGTGGGCATAGGACTTTTTTTTCAAAATCAACGTAAAAGAAGAGTTTTTTCAGGATTTATGAAAGATACTGACAATCTACTATGATTCGTACTAGAGCCTGCTTTTTCTTTATCAACCAATTGTCAATGTACCAGTCGTTCAATACTGGGTGTAATTAAGCAATGCTTACTGGGAACTTATTTTCTCTTTTCTTTTCTCCCTGCATTCCTGTAAGTATTGATTGTATTTGTTCTTGTGACGTTGAATTTCTCCCATTTCGTCATCATCATATGCATAATCAGGATCCACATAGGTGTGTCGATCAGTCTTAGTGAAGATGGTCCTGGAAGATAAACCATAAGTAAACAAACAATCAATCACTCAACCCATTTCTTCCTGCATCTACTGCTAACCTGATCATCACAACAATTATAATGAATATCATGGGTGGTAATTAGCTGGGTAGTTAAGCTGATTGCCTTCCAATCCAATTCACAACTAAAAAATCTCCACTCCCTAAGCCTTGTAACGAGACTAAAGCAATTAAAGTTCTCAAAGCATTGCATTACTTCATTTATTGAATAGCGCCCCCAAATATCAGCTAACTTACGAGGACAAGCTAAAAGGGTCACCTTCTATAAATTTGGTATAAAAGAGATCCAGATGCCCTACTTTGACTGACCAATAATTTAACAATTGAAATAATTTTTTTTTAAATATTGTTAACATGGATTACCACATGACGCATCATGTGGCAGGACACACATCTAAGAGATGGTTTAATAATCTTAACATCACTTTCATTAGACCATGTATTGTAATATGGTTATTGATGCCTTTTTTTTTTACCAAGGATATCATACTTACTTGTAGTTTTCTTTACGGTAGCTAGGACGAACACTCCGCGCCCTATCATTGGGAAATGCAACAAGAGCAGAAGAATCGAGCACTGCTGAGGCCGACTTGGTTGCATGCAGACGTCCTGTCTTCGGGGCATTCAACATAGCAGCTCTAGGTTTATATGAAGAAGCTTCATCCATTGTCACAGAGACAAACTGACCAACTTCACCTACAACCATTGGTGTGATACCTAAAAATCAATGAAATTAAAGAAGACTTATTATACTTCAGTATATTTTATAATATCATCATAAGCCATAGAATAGAAATCTTTCTTTAGTCTGGATACTTAATCAATTTGACATTGTTCTTCCTTAAGGTCCAGTTTAAAAATTTAAAAAAAATATAAAATATAATTAAGGAATTATATAGAAAAACCAAAGAAAATTGGTAAACATAAGAGACAGGAGGAAAAATTTTATGTTAAATCAATTTTTTTAAGGAATACAAAGTTAAAGAATAAATTGAACTGCAAGTATCTGGGGGAAGATTATGCCACAGTTTAATTGAGCAGTATTTGAACATTTTTTCCAAAATTCATTGTTACATTTTGGTAAAACTAATGTATTTTTTGATTTGCTTCTTGTGTTTAGACCTAGAGATCTCCACGGTTCAGCGCACACACAGTGTCTACCACCAGATTAGCCAACTGAGCTAAGCTGCTCTCTCTGTACTATACATTCCACTGTATTGAAATTTACTAGGAGACCCTTTTAGAAGGTATGTTGTTAGACACTAGGAACCACCAAGCACTTCATTCATAGGTTTGTGACTGTTAATGCATAATATAAAACATGTTCCTTGTTTCAGTATTTTAAGTTTTTTATTTTAAGTATTATACCTGGATTGAACTTGGGCTTCTTCTCGGTGGAAACTGCATCGCTTGTTCCGTGGAGTGATATGTGCAAGGTATGTATTGCTTCTCGGTGTACATCAGTAGGGTGTGAATTTGCACCAGTATCAGCCATGGCTCCGATAACATCCATCAGTTGCATACACCTATTCAAAGATAAAATACACAAACTAATTCAGTGATGTTAGCAGGGATATAGTTATTGTAGGCAGAGAGAAGGACAGGGCCTGCCAAACTTTTTCCCTCCATCTAAAGCTAATTTCATGGCCTTCTACCCACCATAATTCATTATTAGTCCACTCTTATTATTCAGAGTTCACCAATGTTATCACCCATCAACCCTTAAACTGTCTCCCACCCAGTCTTAGTTTTCTATAGCAACAAGGTTACCCTGATTGTTGGTAGTTTGTGAGTAATATACTTCTGGATAAACTGACTATTATCAAAGTTCCATTACTACAATACCCCCACAAAATAATACAGCTGTCCATCCAAGGAAATTATCTGTTTGTCATCACTTTAATTTTTCAACGAGACTGTGAATTGTCAGTATAAATTGTACAGAATGACACAAAAGAGAATATATGAACAAATGAAATATTATGTCACCTGAATGTCCCGAACTGGTTTGGTTTAAATGATATGATGATATCCTGGACATCTCCTGGCCTCAGTTTTCCAAACTGCGGATGAATTGTAAACTGAGCTATCTTCGTAAAGACAAATTCAACAGGAAGTATCGTGGATTCGTTACGCAGTTCACAAAGAGTGTCCACATGCTCTCCGACTGGACAGTTACCCATGTCATAGTGCATGAGAGGGTTAAGTGTCAAAAGGACTGGAAGAGCAGTCCCTGTTAAAGCAACTTCTAGTTTTGCTCCTGAGGAAGAAAATCAATTTATTTACTTTTTTTAAAATAATTTATTTTATTCAATAAACTGTCATTCATTAATATTGGTGATAATGAAGAGGATAACGATATAAGCATGGTGAAAATGATAACAAGAATTTTGATGAAGATGATAATAATGATGATTATAAAGGTGCTTATGTTTATGACAACAGTAATACAGACAACATTATGACAACGATGATGCACCACTGACAATACATAAATAAATGACCTGATGGCTGATTACAGTAAGGAAGGTGGCAAGGATGACATTGATGGAGATAATGATGATGAAAATGATAATGATGTTCTGGGTGATGATGGAGGTAATAATGAAAATGGTGATGACGATACGGAGAAGATGGTGATATTAATTATGATGGTGATAATGTTTATGATAACAGTAATGATGTCAGTAAAATGATGACACAGGCTAAACTATAACTAAACCAACAGACAACCACACCGTAGATTAATACCAATTATTATCAAAGAGGCAAAATGACAACATACCTTCAGGGCTTCCAAGGCCTTCACTTTGAGATTCCGAGAAGCCTTTGCTGCTGCCAACCATAGCAAACTGCATGAACAGGGAGAAGTCCTGCCTTGGAGGTGGGGTTGCTGTGCTTTTCCAACCTTGCCTTAGGGTGTTATACCTTGGACTGAATCTGAAGAACACCGGAATTTTCTCATAAGCTGCTAAACTGCCCTGGTTTGGAAATGTAGTTACCAAAGTTGTCAGGGGGTTGGTACTAGCACGCACCTTTTCTTGGTTAGATGCAGCAAGTGTACGAACAGTTGACTTGGTAAGGTCGTTACCCTGGAAGAATAAACACAAAATAGATTCAAAATTCGCTGAGCCATTTTTAACCAAAATTGTATTAATCTCATTTGTTATGTTTAATTTATCCATTTGTTTGCATCGGTTTTTTTACTAAAATATTTCTAGGACATTTGTGTACTGAAAAATAAAATAAAAATATCCCTTCTTACAACTTCCATGCCTTCAGCATCCTCTTGCAGTACAGTTACAAAACTGACTGCATGTGGACTGTTGTTGTAAAGGTACGCTGCCTCCATCTTATCAGTGCCATAATAGGTACATCCAAAGCGAATACAATCGATCAGATCTTCATTGTCCACAGACAAAAGTTCAAGACAACGTTCAACCACATTGGCTTTGATGATCAGTGTGGAAGGATCTTGATTTGCAAGTTCAACTCTGAATAATTAAACAAAACAATAATATTTAGAGTAGAACCCCTCTTTGGAACATCACTATTAAATGGACAGCCTTATTAAAAGGAGACCCCCATCAAGGGGACACCTTTTCGGCCATAAAATGAGGGAAATATACACTACGACCAAACCCTATTCAGGGGACACCCTTATTAAGGGGACACTTGTTAGGTCCGAGGGTGTCCCCTTAATAGGGGTTCTACTGTAGTCATACTGTCACACTACAAAACAAATAAACAAATAATATATACTGTAAAGTATTTACTCACTCTAATTCTTCATTGACAGCACCAGTGTTTTTGGTAATAAATTCAACCTATATAAAAAATGCAAAATAAATAAAATTTAAATATGCATAGAATATTTAAAATATAGAACTGCAAGTGGCTGTTCGACATTAAATTTATACCTTGATAAGCTGGCCTGAGTTTGGTTTAATTGTACCGCTTGTTGGAATAATCTTGACCGGTTTATCTCCATTGTAGTGTAATTTGAACGTGCCAGATACAGTTCCATGGTTGAAGATTGAAAATTGTTTCATTAGCACCTTTCCATTGCAGACAACTGTTCCAAAGTCAACCTCTCCATCTGCATCCAGGAGAGGCTGGGGGCTGTAGCTAATTGTGCAAAGAAAAGACAAATAAAAAAAAGCAGAAAATTGAAAAAAAATAGCAAATGGTAAATTTTTTCATGAGGCTCCAAAATTGATGAGGGCGGGGACGTGAAACTAGCAATTAATTTTATTTGGCCTTAATAAAAATATATCGTAACAAAATTGTAATTGTAAATAAACATTATAACAGTAATTTAAGTAATAACAGCCATATGTCATTTTAAACTTACACAAAAATAGGAATTTCAATAACGTCCTCATCAACCAAAAGAATTATTCTGTCTTGACAATCTAGAGGTTCGTCTGTCGTAAAGGATATGGTGCCTGGAACTTCCAGCCCTGGAGCCACTGGTTTCTCTGGGTTTTTCACTTTCAATTCGAATTTCTATTAAAAAAATATAAATAAACTAAAAGTAAACATAAGCACCTGCTGAAAAATCATTTAAATCAAAACATGACTGTCTTTTTTATTTTAAAAATAAATAAATTGCTTTTCAAATCAAAAATCAAAATTAGTATTTTAAAAATTAAAATGGCAATAAGATACTCCACACTTCATATAGGCCTAGATGATTTACAGAATGTTTTGCATTACATTCAGTGGTGGACAGTGCTGTCCTCTCTCACCTTTGAATCAGGCCCATGAAATTTAATCTGCTTGCTGAACTTGCTGATGTTTTGAACAGTCAAATTCACAGTGTACACTGTGTCTGAGTCTGCATCGAAAAACTCAATAACAGGAGGTGAAATTCTCACTCCTGCTACATCCCCGTCCATCTTCATTTTCAAAACTGATCTACAGTGCACAGCCAAAACAGATCATTATAATTTGAAAGCATTAACAGCCTATACACATCAACACACAAAGTTTATCGTGAAATAAATTGGCTGCCATTTTGTAAACTTGAGCTATGGTTGCCAAGGCGCTTTTTCAAGATCGATCAACCGTAACAATTCACCTATGACCTTACCCTTAGCAACACACCAAATAAAAACTTACCGACCATCCCGAAAGGAAGTCTTCAGGCACAAAAATGGGTCTGGATTACTATTTGATTTTAGGTTTAACAAAGTCAGCAATTGATGCAGACATTAAAAAAGCGTAAGTAAATACATTAGGTAGCCAGTGTAGTATATAGAGCCTAGATAACCGCTACTACTAGACTACTGCTGACTGATAGTAAGCTTAGCTTAAAGCTACAGTCAGTCAGCCATCAGTGCGCTGTCCACTTCGATTCCGAAGCACTTCTGCGGCGAGCCTAGCTTGGGCCAGGCCAAGACTAGCTCTTTCTGTGCCTGTTGTAGGCCTAGCCTAGCTGAGGGCAATATTCGTGTTACGATGGGAAATAATCGTGGTAGTGAGCTATAATTTTTTATCTGTTTTACTTGTTGTGGTTGTGCGGCTCAGTCAGGGATAGGACTAAGGAAAATTAGTTATAATATGAAAATATTATGATGAAGTCACAATTGATACTGTTTTAATTTAAATATATATGTTCCTAAGTTTTATTCCATTCAATAAATTTCAGGTATAGGAAACTTTCACTAAAATATCATCCTGACAAGAATCAAGAAATTGGAGCATTTGCAAAATTCAAGCAGGTAGCAGAAGCATATGATGTCCTTGGTGATCGTAAGTATCAATTAATTACTACTACTAGAACAGGCCTAATAATAAAAAGAGAATAAGATAGGATTATGTATAAACATAAAAAGAGCTTGAAATATTATTACCTCTTTAAAAAAATATAACAATGCAAAAATGAAAATAATCTCACCTTTTTGAAAATAAATACTATTGTTGTTTGTGAAAATACCTTAAATAACAATATTGGCAGACAAAACATGAGAAGTATACTTTTAACATTTCTATCCTATAGCTAAGAAGAAAGCTGTATATGACCAGTTTGGTGAAGAGGGATTAAAAAGTGGTGTTCCTGAAGGAAGTGGTCAAACCGGTGCTTACACACATGGATATGCATTTCATGGAGATGCTCACAAAGTTTTCAAGAACTTCTTTGGTGGTGATAACCCATTTAATGGTAATAATACAGGTCCTCACTTGTCCAAGTATACAGATACAGATATATTTTATTGTCAGAGACAAAGAAATTGTTTTTTGCTCATAGTGCAGTGACAGCTCTAGGATACATTTTCTGGGGGTGAGTGCAGGGGGGGGCTAAGCTGTATGGCAGGGGGACTTGAGCTTGTATGCCTGAGGAGGAGGAGGATTTGGGTGTCCCCATCCCATATGAGATTTTTTTTAAAAGGGACCTCTGGATGGCCGGAAATGGCACTCTACGACAGTGACAGATATGTTTTGGCTTGGTGTAGGCTTATTTTTAATTTTTTTGTTTTTGGTCCAACGAGCTCGGCCAGTGAGGTGAGGGGGTGCTTACTTGTCCGATGGGGCCTTAAGCCCCACTGGCGCTGCCACTGTAAAACAGCACCAATTAATCATCATCCTTTTAAATACACATGTATGGTTTTTTTTTTTTTTGCAGAATTTTTTGATGGTGTGGATGGTGACTTGAGCATGGGATTTGGAGGTCTGCTCGGCAGAGGAAACAAGAAGCAAGACGACTCTATTGAAAGGGATCTTGTACTGACATTGGAGGAAGTGTTTCATGGTTGCACAAAGAAGATGAAGATTTCACGGAGGGTGGGTATTTTGATTCTGGAGCTGAGAACCTATTGATGGTTGATATTGCATAAACCCACAATTTTGACCTCTGTGAGGTCAAAATTCAACACAGCCAACTAATTCTTAGTATCTGTTTGAGTGGATCATAGTTGAAATAATCTGTCGTGCTGGCTTTATGTTGCCTTCTCCACAGAATTGCGCTGATCAACCATCAGCTTTCCGTTGGTTGATGACGCAGGCTTAACAAATAGTTTTTTTTGCTATTGTTATTATTATTGTATCTTCTTTCACTATAATCTTATTCTTCTTAAATAAATAGATATTTATTGCACAATTAGGTGATGAATGAAGATGGCCATACCTCAAGTGAAAGAGACAAGATTCTAACAATAACTGTCAAGAAAGGATGGAAGGAGGGAACAAGGATAACATTCCCCAAAGAGGGTGACCAAGGCCCCAACAACATCCCAGCCAACATTGTGTTCATTGTCCGTGACAAAGCCCATCCTCGATTCAAACGTGATGGTAACGATCTGATATTCACCGCCAAAGTTCTGCTGGGCAAAGCCTTAACAGGCTGCAGTGTGGAGATACCAACGTTAGATGGTCGTTTGCTCAATATTCCGATCAATGATATAGTCAGGTAAATCAAGTTGCATTTGTCAAGATTTAATGAGACAGTTCAATGGGTTCACTAAAGATTAAAGTGGTAGTTCAGCAAGTTTACCTTGTAAAGATTAAAGTGGTAGTTCAGCAAGTTTACCTTGTAAAGATTAAAGGGGTAGTTCAGCAAGTTTACCTTGTAAAGATTAAAGGGGTAGCTCAGCAAGTTTACCTTGTAAAGATTAAAGAGTAGTTCAGCAAGTTTACCTTGTAAAGATCAAGGGGCAATCAAACAAGTTTACCTTGTGGTTAGCAGGCACTTCTAGACATGTCTGTTTATTTAACGTAAAGCCCAACTCAGACAGCGTCGTACAACGCAGCCCGATGCGTTTCATCGTCAGGGACAGTTTCAAGCCATCGCAAGAAATATTAAACATGTTTAATATTCTATGACGCAACTGTCCTCGATGCAAACCATCGCGTCTGTGTTAACTCACACAAACACGACGCGACAACAAATCATGTTGGGCTGCATCATACAACACTGAGTTGGCCTTAAGAAACTCAACTTCAGTAGGTCCCACTCTTGGTAATTCATTATACAGGTCCCTTATCAAGACTCTTTGTTTATTTATAAGAGTGTAATACTCCAAGATTCAATATTTCAACATTAATTATTTATTTCATTTTTTTCAGAGCACTCTAATTAAGTAAAGGTGCTTTTGTAACGCCCTCTTTTACAAATATTAGCTAAGTATTATTCTTTGTATACATGTTAATCATTATTAATATGATCATTTTCCAGCCCTGGCTATCAGAAGATTGTTCCTGGAGAAGGAATGCCAATATCTACAGAACAGAATAAGAAAGGCAACCTTATCATCCGGTTTGAAATTGAATTTCCAAAGCAGTTGACACCGGAAAAGAAACATCTTCTAAAAGAAGCACTTCTGTAAACATATTTAACACATAGTTTTAAAAACTACAAAAAATAAAACATAAAATGCGAGAATAAATTAAATCGTTATCACTCATCATCAGAGCATCTTAATCTTTTTCTTGATTTGTAAATACACATTCTTAACAGAACATCCTGGAATTCACTTTAACGAACCATTGTATTTAATATTACCAGTCTTTTTGTATATATTTAAGACTGAATTTAAAATGTGCACTGGAATTTGTAAATAAAGATATATTTAAGGAACTTTCTTGTTTTATGATGTGGTCATGTTGTTCTTGAACTAGATGTGAATACTGATTTAGTTATGCAAGATATTCATGTTTTAAAGCCGTTCAAATTCTTTTTATGTGCTTGAGAAGGATACCAGCATGGATGCTTAATGTCAGTGGAGCTATCAAACACTTTTATGCGACAAATTTGTGAATTACCCATATATAGGTGTGATGATGTCATGCAACCATATGGGTATAATGACATCAATTATCGTACCCATAATGGGCAAATTACAGGTAAATATCACAGTTTGATAGTGTGGATAGCGCTCAAAGATCTTACAACAAGCTCTTCGTGGTTTACGTGGAACAAAAATGAAGCGTCCATTCACGCAGAAAGCAATAGAAATTTGAGAGTGCATCTTAGTCAATAACATGTTGTTACTGAATTTGCACACAGAAATCGCGGAGAACGCTATCTTGTTATAAGATCTTTGATATAGCTTTAGAACCTTGTGATGCTGCAACTTTGATTAACACATCAACTGATTAATTGATAACAAAATAATTATAATACAACTAATAATCATGGTTTTAATTGATTTTTTTATTTCACTCACAATAATATATGATTAGAATTTGGTGATGCAAACACATACCGACATGATACAGAATCTATATTCATCACACTGATAAAATAACTTTTATTCTATGGTACATCACATACTGTGCAGTAATCAATTTTTACATTTCAATTCATTTTTGTGGACATACATGGTGTGGACATTGTCATCTTGCTAAATGTGTAATTTTCTGTGTATTTACATAATTTTTTGTGACAGGTTTTAGATAAGATATGATTGAAGCAGATTTCTCCCCCCACCCCCACACACACACCTTCCACATTGCCACATAATAGTAAAGATTTGGATTTCAGAAGCTCTCAGACAAGATACTGCCAATCATCATTTTAGGTTTTCTAAAAAAAATCTATAAGATTTGTATTAATACAATACTGATTTTTTAAAGAGAATACATCCAACCAAAGATGACAGTATTGTATAATAAATTAATAGATAAGCATAAAAATATTTTTTTTTTAGTTCAATTTGTTTTCTAATACCCTATTCGTAAAATAATGGACTATATTAAATTGATTTGTCATGATTCTTACATCAGTTTACTTCAGAAGAGCACCACCAGGACTGATGGCGCTGTACCAGAGTAAGCTAAATGAACATAAAAAGACCTAATGTGTTGTTGCATACATCATCATGTCAACCACAGACCCTGTGAGTAAAACCAAACTACAGCCTGGGATCCAGGCTAAATAAATTAAGGTGCCCTAGTAAACAATAATGAAATAATTAAGTGCCCTAGTAAACAATAATGAAATAATTATGGGCCCTAGTAAACAATAATGAAATAATTATGGGGCCTAGTAAACAATAATGAAATAATTAAAGTGCCCTAGTAAACGAAAATGAAATAATAATAATATAAAAAACACCAACAAAAACAATTTAAAATCAAGAGAAATATTTCTTTGGCGATCTTTCAAAATGTCCTGGTTAAACATGATCTATTTAATCTTTGGTGGGATTTTCTTTGGAAGCATAATAATATATTAAAATAAGATTTCTTACATGCATGATTTTATAGGAAAGTTTTTCGGTAAAAATATAGATTTGGCTCAAGATCATAGCACTTAACTCTTAGCACAATATTTTGATTGTAATTATTAAACAATATAATAATTATATAATAATATTATAAATATGAAGATGTACTTTCAGCAACCCTATATACTTTTTGTATTAATTTGACCCAAAATGCAAGTTTTAACATCTATAGTAATATTAATTAAAATAACTGACAGAAACTAAAAAAAAAAACCTGCTGTTTGAGCAACTGTGAACATTACTTTGATAGATTAACAGGCAATATAATATATGTAATGATATACTGAATATTAGACAAGACCTTTTTTATACCTTGTTTAGTAAACCCACCTACTGCCAACAATGACTTCAAATACAGTAAAAATAAAATTTTATTTTTGGCCAATTCGTGCACCAGCTGCCAGAAAAAACAGACAAATCTTTTATAATCTTTATTATGTCTGCCGCTGTTTTGAAATCTCCAAAAATAAGGTATGTATATTTCTTCCTAATTATATAAATTTAAAGCATTTCACCATCCCATTACTCCACTGTTTACATTCACCAATAAAATTATATTTATATTTTCTCCTCCGTCTGGATATTTTGGCAAAACTATTTTTTTTTTTTTTTCCGCCCTTTTCTGATGATCTTTGAAAAAATAAGTTCGCGAAACAAGGTGTAAAAAAGTCTCACTTATTTAATGAAACAGTTTTTGGTAAATATAATACTAATAATACAGGATCCTGGGGGGCTCACTCTTAAATATTTCTATACGGGGAGGTGCCGCATTTGAGGGGTATATTTTCGAGGACTTGGTAGCCCAAGTGTCGGAAATATGGGGGAATTGCAGCATCTATGGGGTATACTTGCAAGGACTTTGTAGCACAAGTGTGGGAAATAACCAGGGTGAAATTGGTAGTTAAAGTCCCTGGCCTATCTTATGTCAAAGCCACACAATTTTCAGCACGATGTCAGCAGGAATTTCAAGCTAAACTGGGTGTTAAGCCCCTTGCTAAGCCTACCTTTGGTACAGCCACAAGATCGCGACCAGACTTTTTGCCATCGGGAAACAGTCAATATTGCGCCCTCTCTGGCACTATTGAGTGGCCTTTTTCC